AGGGTGATCAACAACCTTAATAATATTTAATGTGTTTGTATTAAATTCCAATGAATCGTTTGCTACCCAATGAGCTGGTTAATGTAGCAATGTAACGTTTTTCATTGATTGCGACAGTCAGAAATAAATCGATTGTGATATCATAGTGATGTAACGTCATGAAAATTGCGCAACAAATTCGTCACCAAACAGTATCTTTTGTTTTTATTTGATTTTATGAAACTGGTCTTGAAGTTTTAATTTCAATTTTTAGATAGAAGCATTTAGGACTCTTTCCATAGAATATCACGTGACATGTAAACACGTTTAAGAAACAGTGTAAATTACGTTGTAAACATTCAATTTTACAACAAATTGTGTTGTAAACATATTGCATCCGTACACTTATCCTTGAACAGGTATAAAAAACATATCTAGGCTGTTTTCACCTTTCATGTATTATGCCAAGCACAACGTAGCAGCATTACATCCAGAGTTATATGGTACTAACACGTGTGTTTGAAGTGCTTCATCAAGTAGATATAGAAAATATGGCCCCTTTCTTGGCACAATCACATAGAGGTTCCACAGATGACAGCATATTGGCTATATTGCCATCTCAAGACAAACACGTGGCATCATTGCGTTTGAGATTACTGACGGTATATTCAGTGGTATGTGTAACAAGAAAATAAACGAAAACAGTCTTAATCTTTTCTCTCCCACCTAACCTCCCATCCCCCTACATATACACCTCACACACCTACACACCCCTCCCCCCACACCCTTCACAACTTCCCTACAATAATTCAATAATTTTTTATCATGTTGGCGTTCATAGGAAACTTAAATGTTGTCTACTGGTATATAGAAAAAAACAGTAGCTGATGCTAATTACCATCAAATATATTTTCCGTAGGAAACTGTGAAACGGACTCTCCTGTGCTCACGTGGTTGTGTCCTTTGGCAAAACGTTTTAGCCAACTAGTTCTGGATGTCGTGCGACGGCCTCACGTGTGTCGTTCAGTGAGGTAACTCTTTCACATTATCTTACCAGAAGTGGCCTTATTGAAAACATGTAACAAACCAAGGAGGTTAAAGGAAAATACGAAATAATAAATTTGATGTTTTCGCTTCAGCGAGGCCGCGACAACAATCAACTATATGTATTTTGTTCATTCTTCAACACGTACATTTCATTGTATATATCTGACTCTTACGAAATACATGCTTGCCATTATTTGTCCTTTACATCAGCTATAAACAGCAAATAAAACTGTTTCGTTGTGGTTTTATCACTATTTATCACATTCATTTGGTTTAATATCTGTAATATAATAGAACCTAGAGAAATATTGCACAAGTACATATCTTAATGATCAGTTTCCATTTATCTTTGCATTGAAGTGTTTAATACATTTCATACATTGTACGTTTATGAGCGTTATATATGACTCGAAGTATACGTGATATGTATTTGAGAATACTAGTAAATTCGAGTGTGCGTCGGCATTTTGAAATAAAACTATCGTTGAAACGATGTTGACACAAACAAATTGGTTCATATGTTTACTGACAGAATACAGGAAAATTGCGAAAAGTACACTGGGGATTATGTAATCAATATATAACATACAGGATGGGAATGCAAACGTTTGAAAGATAAATTGTTTTTTTTTTTTAAATTTGAATCTCTCAATAAACGGTACTAATGTAAAGCTCGATATTACAGCATAGTTGTCATAGTGACGGACACGATAATTTCACTTCATAAAGGGCTGTTCAATCTGAAGGATTACACTGCTGGTAATAACGAACAAATATTAATTTTCTAATGGATATTTCAAACAGGTTCGTATTTGTTAGTTGTTGTTGTATAATAAGTATACATAATTGTCTCCTTGTGTTGTTATACAAATCGTTCACAATAATTTGACATAAAAACTTAAGTACGATATTTAATTTGTAGAAATGCTATGCAGGTTTACAAATGGTCCCGATACGGTTTTTATCTGCGAAATGCAGATCAAAACAAGTATGGCGACTTATTGGATCCAGTCCTTGTTGTAAAGCAACAAGCGATTCTCAGACATCTCACTTTTAAATTTTGTTCATATACCTCTCTGATAAATGTAATCTTGATAAATCAAAGGGATATGTTTAGGTCAAAAGAGACGAAGTCTCAAACGACCTTTTACAAACGCCTCTTGTCCGTCCTCTTGTGTCGTCCATCATCCGTCAACAATTCACACTTTTTTGACTTCTCCATACCAAAGATGTCCAGGGTGCTGATATTCGGCTTGCGGCACGTTTAGATAAAGGAGTATCAAGTTTGTTTAGATAAATGACCTTGAATTACTTTCAAGGTCGCAATAGACATACGAATTAAAAACCTTTAAACGACTTCAGCACAATAAGAAAGAGGTCCAGATATACGACATTTTGGCTGTAACATGCTGGGAAGAGGGGTTTCCAGGGCTTTTTCAGATGAACGACCTTTACCTACTTTTATAGTCACTAGTGCCTAATCTTTAAATGATATCTTCTCAGTTCGAACCATGACATGACAGTTTGCTGGTATAGACATGTTATGTGAGATTGTCCACAGGGGTTGAAGAATGAGGCCTAAAAGAGTCAACCTGCTTAAACTTACTCTATTCTTCAAAGGAATATATTTTTCAGGACAATTTGTTAATCAGCCGTTGGAAATGAGTCAAACTTGGTTAGAATTATTAGTACGGGATGACATATTGATAGTAAAGACAGGATCTGATGGTCCGGGCCAAAATTACTCAAATTGAGGGAAATGTTCATACTTTAGATGACCGTTAATGATATTGGGCTCTTGTCTGCTTCGACCGGACATATTGCTTCTTGTATCGTTAGTGTCGTTATCAAAAACATCCCTTTGTAAACAGAGAAAGTTTGAAATGACCAAGGGTATTTTTTATATATTTTGTTTGTCCGAACTGACTACAGAAAAGATATTTCAATGCTGACAGTATTTTAAAAAGACACTGGAAATGGTTCTGAAAAGGTACAGAACTGCGTCTTGTCCGAATTATCCTTTTGATTGAATTACATACCCACCCTTCATTTTTTGGTTAACTGTAGAGGGAAAAATATTAAATATGAGAATTGAACTATCCTGAACTTGCAACTATGGTCATGAAAACAATACTTAGCTTTGAATACAAAATCATTTTGTGTTGAAGCGGATTACATTTTCCTGTATATAGCTTAACAAGCCAGTTTTTGTTCAAAAAATTGATTGATAACCATTTCAAAAGATTGCGAAACCCTCTCAAGTTTTTTCCATTTTTGATAAATCCCTCGAGAGCTAAACCAGGCTTGCCTAAAGCGTAAGGATCTTCCGATGTTTTGAAAACATTTTTTATCATTAATATCACGACTTTCTTAAGATTATTATTGGAATAATGACATAAAACCATTACCGACTTTATCTCACAAGGAATGTATAATCACATCATTTCTTTATTTCTACATCCTACAGTGTACATATTGTAAGTTATCCAGTCAGTGTACGCCATAAATCATGAGAAACATAGAATTGAAAACAACATCGTGGATAATGTAGGTTGTAGAAGCAGAGTTGTGGCCACCAAGAAATGGAAACCGCGCGATAGGAGTAATATTTTTCCGCTTACCCTAGAGAGATGCATACACATTAAAATAGGGTGAGATTTCCTTGTTGCATCTAAGGGAAGACGGTAGTCTCCTTTCAAAAAGGCATGACGTCACAGTAGCAGTTTATTGACGTCAAGTCAACAATGATAAATAATAACAACATTACATTGTCTAGAAGAAGCCCATAAAAGCGAGAGAAAATAACCATTCAACAAGTAATTAAAACCAATCGATATCCGGGAGTAAGTACACTAAATATATCAGTGAATTGTAAAGGGTAAATATTGAAGGCTGTTCCTAGCTAATATTGAAATAAATGTATTCCCAGCTTCTCTTTGTTCGAGACTTACATTAATTATTTACCTCTGTCGAAATAAAGATAGAAAAGGATTTTCGCATCGTCACAGATTTGAAACAAACATGTTGACGCAATCGTAAAGCTAACAACAGACAGATGGGTTACAGGAAAGATTAGGAGCCATTTGATGTAAACATTCTACAGCGTCGTGCATTTAATGTGTGTCCAATCCATTTGTATTGCACAAACCGTTTAAACCAAATGCCCTCTTCTTTTCCTTTTCACCAGGAAACGTATAGGAAGAAGGGAAGTTAAATTCCTTGCTAATTTACGGGGCTAGTGACATATAAAAACTAAAGTTCGTGACAGACTGAAAGAACTAAATGATTAAAAAATGCGATATCTACGCAGTAACATCAGATAAGACGTCGATTTTATATTCTCATCTTCACGCAAGCATATAATGACACAAACAAGTATGTTTTATACTCCATAGTCGTTAGGAAGGCTTCAAATTACCATCATAAATACTAAATAGTCTGATATACACCATGTTTGATCCGCCAGCCTGATGTGTACGTGTATCTTTTCTGTCGTAAACAAATGATTGTACAAAACTTGTACTCAAAAAACGAGGAAAAAAATCATACAGAAATGTAATTACTAATATGGTTTATTCAAATTACTTGAAATTTTTGTTAATATTTGAAATAAGCGTTTTGTATTATCAATCAGATCCACTTTTAGTATGAATCTTGGTAGAAAAGTTCTGTTTAAAAAACAAAGATATCTTTTATCTTTACAAATATATATAGTATAGGAGAATTAAACCAAGAAGAACGGTTTCTGATTTTCACCTCAAAGACAAGGGCATTAAAGTTCGTCTTCTAACTTTAATTCTTCTGAAACTGTTACAATTAAGAAAATAGATTGTTAAACTTGTGTTTCCCAGACATTAAGACAAAACAATGACCTGTCACAAATCAGTCATCACACACGCATATAAAAACTATTCAACAGCCATTTCTTTGGTCGTTAAGGTTGTACTATATGTCTGCTTGTCACATTCCACAGTTCAAGTGTCCGTAGTTCTGAGTGTTCGAGAGGAAACATATCCATGTAAACATAGTTCTATTCGTTCTCGATATCGAGTTATCATTATGATGTTTACATCTTTATCCTGAAATTTACAACAAAACATAGCTTTGATTTCACGTCTGTAGTTTGAGTTAAACCAACCGTAGACGATAGGGTTAATGCAGACGGAACTCATAGCAAACACATGACAGATAGCAATTAGCCAGTTAAAGTCTATTCCGGTGAAGAGTTGATAGTTAATATCAGCTAAGAGGTTAATCAACGTTAGGGGAAGCCATGTTAACGCAAATATGACAGTTATGGACGTGAGAAGAATTATATTTTTTCTTTGACGTAGTAAATTTCTTCTACTTCGGTGAAGTTCCCGTGAATATGACGGTTTAGATTCAATATGTGTACGTATAAATTTACAAATAAGAATATGTAACGCAATTATAACTATGATAGGAAAAACAAAATGAATGCACAACACCAACAACGCATAACTCCTCCGAGCAATGTCTGAATCCCATTTCTCCAAACATGACGAAAATAGAATTATATCTTTCGATATACAAACCGATTCAACATCATGATAAATTAACATAGGAAGTGCCAGTGCAAACGATACCAGCCATACTATAACAAAGATATACCTCGGTCGCGTCCAGTCCCGCGAGGTGCATTGTACAATTGCTTTATACCTGTCAATAGCTATGAATACAATAGTAAACGTTGATACAAACACATATATTGTCTGCAGACTAGGTACGATCTTACATAACACTTTCCCAAGTGGCCAATGTTTCAAAATCAACTTTACAACGGTGAAAGGAATACACAAGACAGAAGTTAGAATATCTGATATAGACAAATTCAGAATATACCAGTTGCGACTTGATCTTACATTCCGTTTCCTTATGATGATATAACACATTGCTGCATTTCCAAGAATACCGAAAAGTGCAATGACTGAAAACGTCAGCACCAACACGCACACGCCCACAGAACCAAACCAGCTGTTCGAGAATTCTACTTGTGATTGTAGACGCCAAAAATCTTGAATAGAGAAATTCTTCCCCTCCCACGAGAACATTGTGTCCATTTGATCAAACGACGATACGCTTTGGGTCGTGTTTCTGTCCATCATGTCTTCACGTCTGAAACAAAGAAAGAAAACGAATTGAAGTATAGCAATATAAAATTAATTCAAGTTTGAGAAAAACATGGACATGACTGATCATATATTTGTAGTCCAGTCAACTTACATACATATGTGTAAATTTCCTTTCTATTTTTGAATCAACTTTACCAAAATGTTAGTTTAAGAAGAAAAAAAACTTGAGATGAGGCAACATATTCGCCAAGTACATGTATTAGTTAATGTCACTGCAACGCAGATGTATAGAAATCAAAATAGAAAATAGAATCGGTAATTCTGTCGGGAGTATTGAGAATTTCATCGAAAGTTTACATATTTTCATAATTGCATAATGAATATCCATGAAAATGATTAGACGGAAACAGCTGTTTTATTTGAAAGACGCACTTATACATGTTGAGTGTTATATTGCCATGGTGATGGTCTGGAGTGCTCACTCATTAAGAAGTAGGTCAGAAGCTACTCATGCTCTGAAAAAAAACCCTTGTTGTTTTATAATCGCTATAGTATACTTAGTAATGTATTATTTCACATTTGTTAGCATCATTTAAGAGTTTTCTAGTCGACATGAGTTCTCCATCATTGAAGAAATGATTAAAACGTGTTTTTCCTGCATTCGATTCTTTGTTACGTGAAACATATTCATAAAATTGCAAGAGGATCGTTCAGAAAAAAAACATCAAAATAAAATTTACACTCATGTTAATCAAGAAATTTCTGTTTGCAAGTTGAGTGGTTAGGTATGGCTTCAAGAATATGTAGAAAATTATGAATTTGCATCTCATGCTATGCATACACGAGTGTACAGCCGAACAGAACTCTATAATATTGATATTTTTAATGCATCGTTTTAAAGCAACTTAAGTACAACGTCTTGCATCATTACAGCTTAATACAACAATTTCTAATATTATACCTGGATTTAACAAGCAGCTTCCCTTCACTATAGGTTCATAACAGATAAACATCAATCCGTAATTCACGTTTCGGCAGTCGTAATTCCTTTGCAACGATCGGGTGTTGTGAGGACTGTTGTAATAAAAAATGTATTAATATGATGAAAACAGATACCATAAAAACAAGAAATGTATAGAAAAGTGTAAGCTGTTCAGTGATGTCCACGAGAAACATGCTCTCTTTAAATTTCAGGTATTTTTTTTTTAATAAAACTGTAAAAATCGATCCAAAGGGAGAATAATCTAATAGTGGACATATATGTGATGCCCTACAGAGCAATATAGAGGATGTTTTCTTATAATGTCTGTAAAAGTCTGTTTTCTCATATATCCCGACAGCATTAAAACGATGTAATACGCGATTAAGGTTTCACGGAAGATTATTTTGAAACTACATATTTGGCGCACTATAACGTTAGACGGGGTATGAAATAGAAATTCTCTTCATCTGATGGTGAATTTGGGTCACGAGAGACAACAGAATATCTTTAATGTCTTCAGATTTAGAACAAGAAGTCAATAGAAATAGGCAGATGACATGCATATGTTTTCTGTGAAATGCAATGATATGTTTGGAAAGGAGTTTTCAGTGTGCACGGAAATTGTACGGCATTGCTTTTCACTGCATGTACATTTGAAGACATAAAAAAGATGAATGCAGCATACGGTCTGTCGTTTTGAGATCGTTAATTTTTATATACAGATGAAAGTCTCAAATGGCCATCGATTCTTTCTTCATATTTTCCATTATTTTCAGAAAAACAAACACAATATGAGGAATAGTACTGACAGGTGAAACAAGGACATCTGTTATAAACATAGGTATTATGAAATCTGTCTACCAGTACAGTACATATATACCACTGCACTTTAACACTGTTATCGTTACACTGTTCGCTAAAAGTCCATTAGGGTCGATGCCTCATAGAAGTTCGGACAATGTTTGATCAAACGTTGTTTTTATCTTCCTATCTGGTAATATATGGCAATCAAATTAGTTTTATTGGAGGAAGAAATAAACGAGAATTTGTATAAATAGCCGGACCTTTGCTGCACAAATCATACGATATCTGCCAGACATCACTACCAGCAGCTGACCGACACAGATCTTAACAAGGTAAGTCTCACTTGATATCTATAGGACAAATCAATATTTATTACATAACAAATAGAGAATTCTGAATGACTGAGTTTGTGCTAACATAAACCAAACCTCTAAAAATATACATACATATTATTAAGTTATTGAAATAATTTTTCTAACAATAAATCTTGACGATCTGCTGATAAGACAAGCATCGCTAAACACTCCAGGTGACGAGATAAATTGGTTTCGTTTAGTCGTATTGACAACGACAAGAAACAAACTTCAAAGCTAGGCATTATACGGGGATAGTTGTAGTTCTTTTTCCCCTTTATCGTGATCATATCTTTTCTCACAGTATGATAAATATGTATTAATACCAGTATTCCACACAGATGTGATAATTTCCTTATACACCTAACACGAGACATATTGAGCAGAAAGTGTAATGTATAATAATACGATCTAATACAATTTTGTCTTCTTTTCACTCCAATCAGTATTTACAAAACGCTTGTAAAGATTAATCTACGAAACAAAGTAAAGTTTTATTTTTTTGTTACATATTAAAAACTTTCATGACACGAAACTTACAGAAATTACACCGATCGGTTTCAATACTGTAAAGGTTAATCGTATTTCAAGGATGATGTAATACTCTTACAGTGTAGTACAATGTATACAACAATGCATCTTAATAAAACATTGGTCATGAAACATTTAGACAGTAATTGCTGATAATATCAATCCTACCTATTTTTATGATCATAGTTTTACAAACGTACCGGAAAAATAGCAACTGAAAGGCAACATATAAACGGTAGACGTTTCAATTTATTATATATATATTTAAACAACATGAAAATTCTATATGATTATAAGCTGGTATTGCAGGTTATTCTCTTTGTTTTCTGTATTTGACATTTATTTATTCATTATTAAATGCTCTGACAAATTTTCCTGAATTGTGGTAAGCATACGTTCATAAAAAAGGATCTTTAACATACATTGATATCAGTCAAAAAATAATTGATAAAGAGTTCTTGTAGAAGGTGACGAAATTCAATGTTTCCATATAGTTTATGTTCGAAACTTTCTTAATCTTTTAATGGTCTCATAACCAATGTTTTCTATCAATCTGATCTTCAGCAATGATTAAATTCCAAGCACAACGTTCCTGAAAATCGTTAAGACGTTTGCGTTTATTTTTCAATTTGTAATTACAGGAAAATGTCGACTGTAGGCCTCATTCTCGCTATCCTCATCAGTGTATGCAGCGGTACATACATAATGAACGGTGGCAATGCAGGTGGCTTTGTAGGATATGGTTACGACGGGGATGAAAGTTACGGATTTGGAGGAATAATCGGTGGGGGCTTCCCATCCAACGGACCATCATATATGTCTGGTTCCATGGGACGTTTCCCATCAGTCGGAGGAGTAATTGCAGGTGCTTCTGGACCAGGGGGATATGCATATGGTGGATATGGCAGGGGGTCCTTCGGGGGCTCAGCCGGCTTTGTTGGTGGGAGGAGGTTCCCTGGATACCGCAGATATCCATCTGGTAGGTCTACTAAAATGATATTTAAGTAAATTACACGTTTGAATTCATTTTCATTAACTGGTCAACCATTTTGTCATAAAGATAAAAATAGATGTTGAGGTATTTGGACATATCTCAAAATTGTTCGCTCTTATATGATAATGCACTAGTGTAAACCATTGTTTGAAAACAGCTCGCATGATATACGCGGTGAGTAGACTGTTTCTCTTTAATCACTAGCTGTTATTTCTATTGTTTCAGCAGTTATCGCTAAAGCGTACTGTGTATTTGCTTTTTTAAATCTAAATACGTCAGTTTCTCTTACCATTTTGAATTACCCAAATAACTATGTAGAAAAAATTGTCCATTTAAATAATAATAATAAAAATGATTTTCATGATGAGAAAATGACTGATTATCATCGAAGTGATAAAATCAATTCAGCTTTAATAATTTCTGTTTATCGTATATACGCATAGCATACCCGCATGAAAGAGCAACGGGGTATTATTCTTTTTATATCTCTGCAAAAACAAAACGTTTCACTTCGATGGAGTCCAGCCTTACTTCTTACTGTTACTTAAAATTACTACGCATAACGTATCCATACCCCATGCTGTATTTCTGTCAGATGATAACTACCATAGTCTATATATAGTTACGTGGGGTGGAGATGGAGAGTGGGAATGTGAAGGGGAGAGATTCGTTAAATATTTTGTCGATATTGTATATTCTATATATTAGCTTGCTTCTGACTGTCACTTTCGGCCAAAACTGTTTTTTGTTGATTAAAATATGACTTTTTTAATATGATGACCTGTAAGTAACATGACATATTTTTGTTTTGCAGGGAATGGAAGGTTCAGCTATTAACTAAGTACAGCTATCCAGACCAGTATTTGAACAGTTAATAATTTATTTAGTGTTTGTACTGTCTTGTCTTTTGTATTTTCTGCCTGCTTTGAAATAAATTTCATATTCTTGACCTTGAGTACTTTCGTTTGAACTCTATTTCTATGGCGTCTCGTGCATTCATTTATAGAAATATTTAAGGTTACATTAAAGTCAGATCATTGTCCATGATTTCTTAGAAAAATACACTTTGCTTCAACATTTTGGCAAAACTGCTTAGTAGTGCTTAGAGTAGGAATTCGTCTAGAAATAACGATTGCAGTATATATATTTTTAAGAACTGTAAGTATTAATTATTGTGATCAATTTCAAATATCTCTTGATGTGGAAATCAACAAATAAGACATGTAAATTAGTACAAAAGGTACGTTTGCAGTACATTTTGTAAAACAAAAACATTACTCCCCGAGTTAAAAAAATCAATCATAAGTAATGTGCGGATAAACTTCTTTGAATAAAACGATATTGTATTCAATAAATTTCAAAACAG